CTTAGCCGCGTTCAATGTCCGCACACTCTATCAGATTGGTCAACAAGCTGCCTTAGCTGGAACCCTTGAAACTTTCAATTTAGATGTGTGTTGTGTCTCCGGAAGACGTATACAAGACCCCACTTCCATTATCTCCCTGCGTTCTCCTAATCTAACCTCACAAAGTAATAAGAATCTACTCTTACGTGTAACACATAAATGAACACAGTGGAAGGAGAGAGAGAGATCAAGGAAAGAAAAACCCGTTTGTAACATCAAAGCCTTCAGAGTCACCCATTCATTTTTAATACTGAATGGTTTTCATATTCAGATTACAGTTATTTGTTAGTAATGATGTGGGAAAATTGATATTGATTTCAACCGACTAAGCACTACTGATGAGCTCTAATAAGAGCGAAACTTGGGCCTAGTGCTTCCGACTGTATGGTTGACGGGATGAACTGAGGATTGTGCGTGAAAGCGAAGTCTGAAAAATAGTCAGCTCATATCAACAAATGGTTTTGGTTCGGATAGCTAGATGTCATAGTCGCACGGACCTGCTCTGTCGCAATATTAGCGGCCAATCCATTCCAGTCCTCGAATGCAGATTGTCCTCCCACACACATGAAATGCAAAAGTCCATTGTCCCCCAGCACAACTCGCAATTAAAATTTTGCATTACTCACAGATGCTTAGTGCGTGTTGTTGTTGTTCTCCTTCGTCGTATGCCGTGTCCCAAAGTCTTAGGAACCCATTTGGAAAACTATCCTTCTCATCTGGTCACTTCCTCTTCTCACTGCCAAACCTTAGGAGATGTATCCTGTTTGCACCACCCATGGGATATCACTGTGTTACCGAATAGGTTGCCCAGGCGAGCGATGTTCACCGAAGGAGGTAGCCGTTGTAAAAGGTCAAGGGCGCTCAAAAGAAGACCTAATATAAGGGTATGAAAACCCTAACCAGGTCACTAGGTCATAAGGCCCCATTAGGCTTCCTAGCTGGGGACTCCAAGATAATGGTCAGAGACACTGAGCGATACGACCGGGTGTCGCAAACAATACATGCATCTACTCGTTATCCTCTTTACACGAGTCTGTATGAATTCCCTATCTTCCGCTTGAATTTGCTTTCAACATTCCAATCTTCATCCTGCTTGTTAATCCAAACGGGCGGCCAAAAGACAGCAACCAAAATCGGTGCATGAAAGTGCATGGTTAATGGTTGTAAAAACTGAACTGAACTGTTGTTGTTCGATTTCGAAGCCTTCAGGGTCTGCAATACTGGAATAGGTTTTGAGATTCATATTTCGTCAAGTGAGTAATGGAATCAAGGGGGAATGATTATTTTCGTGGTCCAAATTACAATACTGAACGGAACTCTGTTGCTCTCATTGGTCCACAAGTGATCTGGTGTTATTCGTCTTTTTACATCTTCCCGCCCTCTCCCATTCGGGGGACAGCTTTGATGCATCTCATTCCTCGCGAATAAACACGAACAAACTGACCACCAGTTTGGCCGCAAGTGGTGTTGGTGGATCACCATCCCATTTTTCCTTTTTGCGATGCGGTCGCAAAGCGTTTGTTCTTGACTACCTTCCTTCTCTGCGCACTTTGGCCTCCGGTGAAGCTACAAAGCAGGCCTTGGCCACCAAACGCCGGTACGTTTATCATTGTACATTTTTTTCCTGTCACTTTTTGTGTCCTGAATAAAACGACTCTCTACCCAAATCGAATACGTTAGCAAGTGTGTGAAAATGGCCATTAGGTGAACCTGTGAGTCAGCACGTTCTTAGCCCCCTCCCCTACCTTCAGATTGTTCTGATTTAGCAGAATCACAAATTACTCGAGACGTTATCGATCGTTCACTCCCCCAACCCTTTTCCCAGTGCCCTGCTGAATATATCTTTTGATTGCCGATACAACCCCTGTCAATTTGGATCTTACCCGGTCGTACTCTTGTTGATTTTTTTTTTTAATTTAATTTTCTCTTCCAGGTTCTTTCACTATTTCGATCGAATCAACTTGCATCTGACCACATCAACACGCCGGATGCTAGAGAAACCGATCTTTCCGAATTGACCCAAATGTACTTGATCTTCAGCCCCGCCCTCCACTTACCCCATCTGCTCATGGATTTCCCGAACTGTGTGTTGTTTGTCTCTTTCCTCTCTGTTGATATATTCAGACAGGCTATTCTCAATTGCCTAATTACCTCCGATGTGCGTTTTATACTTCATGTGTATTTATGTCCGAACCTCAACCCTGACATCAATGAAGATGGTACTTTTTGTATATGGAACCGCCACCCCTTTCCCCATTCCACGGCACCCACGTGCCACACCATTGTCTCTTCATTTCTCAGATTGTGAGTATTCCGATTTACAACTTGCATTTTTATTTTCTGTATACAACTCGTATAAGATCTTTTGATACATTTTCGTCCTCAGCGCCTTTTCCTTTTGACGATCATCCAATTGCACACATGATCCTCCCCAGCGAAATTGCTACCCGATGTGAAACTCACGATGTAAAGTAGTCGGGATCCGAATCGCTCCCACCCAGTTGTAACCCCTGGAAGCTGACGCTAAGCTGAGTGAGTTAGTTGCTCGTAAAGACAGGTCGTTCTATACCGTACGGTTTGATCCACTGCGGCCAGTGGTGGTCAAGAATTCTGTTTACCCGCGCCCTTCCAAACGGAATTCCGGGTTGTAATCCTCCAGTTGAGTAGATTAATTCGTTCACTACTGATGAGATCTGGCAAAATCGAAACGGCTGCACAGTGCTGTGGCATCTTATTTCACGTTCGGTTTGCCCTGTGCCCGACGGAATTCTTCGTGGAAACTATGAAAATGTTTGATGGAAGCTGTTATCAATTTCACTAGTATGCTTTTGTAAGATGCTCCTCCAGGCAAATCAAAAAGCCATGTTTTGTAATTCGGCTGTCTTGAAGCCTGAACTGAATACGCTAACTTTTGTTTTATCAAAACTGTGTCAGTATCTAACGGAATAGCCGTACCGATTGCCACCGCGTTTGGGCAAGAACACAATCGGCTACCCATCCACTTTGTGACGTAACAATAGTTTTTTCGCAACAGTTCGCTGCAGCCAAAAGCTTATATTTTACATATAATCTTAAAAAAGGGACGGTTTTTCTCAATGGGTAAATTTGGTATTCTCGTTTCTCCCAGGTTATCATTCAGAATATCAGATCAACCAGTGTCTATCGCACGGAATAGTGATGCAATGTAACGCCTGGCGTTTGGCCTTTATCTATCGTATTAATTATTTCTCGCCGATCAGGCACCTAGAGTCCCATATGAACCAAATAGAATGGAAACTGATCGCATCGATAGAACTAAACGAACATTTGAGAACCTCACTTTGACCTGTAACACGGTGAGTGCTTACCTCTACCGGTTCTCTCAGCAATTAGAGACTATTTCACATGCATCAGCGAAATCGTCCCAAATCACTGATAGCACTTAGCTTCCTCCCCTCAACAGGGACGTGTCTGGTTCTCTTTCTGTTCACTGCGGAGTACTTCAAGGTGCTATCATTTTATCCTTTTCTTACCTTACCTAAGGCATCTGATGAACTCCACAATAATTATGCCGGTGATGTGTTACAATCTGAACTAGATCTGATAATAATCGTCGATTCCCTGGACTTGATACTTCTCTCGCTTCTATCATTTGATGATCTTCCTTCTAACACTTGTCAAAGGAAGGCGATTGTGTTGAATCGAAATTCAATGTGCATCTTTGTATATTGGCAATTGCGAGGTACCTCAAGTTCTGTCAGTCGAGTATCTTCGAGCGATCCTTTCCCTAAACCTCACCTGATCTCAGCGCATTCCTAGTAGATTCATAAATTTTCTTAAACCTTATTATCTATTGCTCGCTTGTGATCTTTGCCGGCCTTCGATTAAGAAATTACGTCATTTTCCATAGAACCATTAAAGTTTTGTCACATTCCAATGGTGTCCGTCGCTCGACTTTAACGAACACTTTCGCGTACATCTTTTACAAGAATATCTTATCCGATTCGATTCATCTAATAGATCCACTGAGTGCGTCTTCTCCCACCACATCTAAATACGGGTCGCTCCACTCTAGGACAACTCTACGTTACATGTCGATCCTATCCTACCTTGCGAGATACCTTACTAAACTGTCGTTGTTGACTGATGAACTCCAAGATTGTATACGCTTAATGGCCTTTATTGCTTCTTCAATACGGACACTGTTATATTCTATTCTATTCTTATCCTTCATCCATTTTGGTGAATTTAAGTGACCTACGTATGTATTCAATAATAAATATGCCAATGAACCTTGGACTGAAAATTCCATCTCATGGGATTAACAAATTTTTTCAGTTTTGACAACCTTTAACCATGCGTTATCGTGCACCGGTTTTGGTTCCTGTCTTCTGGCTGCCCATTTGGACAAAACAGTCGGAGAAAGACCGGAACTTGGCAAGTAGAGTCGAAGAGAAAAGGAAGAATTTCAGTGGACTAAGGATGCAAAGAAATTGGGATGAAACATAGGATTAATAATACAGGTGATTGAATTCAATTGGTTACTCTCATTTAGGATGCGCGAGTTTATGTGAGATCTGTCAGCCAGTTAATAGTATGCATCTCCGTTTGGTGATTTACATATGTAAGTGAATTTGACTATGAAGACGCAGTTTATTATAGGGACCAAATATGCCGATCAAGCGTTCCGGTTAATACACTTTTGACGCATCCGAGATCGCCACGATTTTGAACCCAGAAGGTTGTTCGCATCGCATACCAATAGCAAAGGGAATAATATACCAGGCGTATTGCTCCCAGACTTGCATTTAACACTTTCTGTTCTGAGGAGGTTGCATTGTATTGTATTATAAATGGCTTGTGCAGGCAACTTTGCCTAAATTTCAGTCAAAAATG